AGAAGAATTTTCGTGTTGTAAATCATGACCGTAAGACGTAAATAGTTTGGAAAAGTTTACTAAAATGCTTTAGCCTTTTGCGGCGTACAGTATATCATTGTTGCAAGGACGCTTTTTTCGCAAACTCGAAATAAAAATTCATTTTATTAAAAAGCACACGTTGTTGCACTCGAAATGTATGAAAAGGCAAGATCAGGGATATCACAGCTCAATGTGGTCATCATTATGCAAGGGGGCCCGAGAGCAAATAAAGAATCTCAATGGTAGACTAGGGTTGGTGAGGGGAAATCCGTGGGTTGCGAAAGCTTTCAAAGGTGAAAAATAATAAAAAAAAACCATTAAAAAGATGAGCGTCCTAAAAACACAGTAGCAATACGATATCAGGTCATGTGGCTGGGATAGGTACAGAAAATCAGGCAGCGCCTGGCGGGGGTTGATCTGCTTGAGCGATGCGTTCAAGTCGTCCTTCGTTTGAGAGTTCGTTACGGAAATAGTCGATCGTCTTCTTCAGCCCGTCGTGCATGGAGACCTAAAAGGGATTGTTGGTGGGCGATTTTTGAAACTGAGTTTGCTCAAAATTACGTTTGGTTCTTTCCCATTATCGGGACGGGGGATTTCGGGGGGAGATCCCTCGATTTTTCGACGAAAAACGGCAGGTTTTTGCAAAAAAAAACACTCTTTTCTAGAAAATTCGCCCTCCACCGATAATGCGAAAGAACCTTACTTTTTTCAAAAGACCTATTTCCGAAAGGCGTAGTTTCGAAAATCAAAATTTCGGAAAATGTCTATCGAAAAGTGCTTTTGGAAGAAGTTTATCCAGAAAACTATTTTCGAACGTGTGCATCCCAATCATATTGCTTATCTTTGATGTTCTATGATCTATATCTAGCGATCTATGATAAGTGCACTTTTTCAGCTGGAATTCAACGCCCAAACCTTTGGTTTCCAGCCGAGCAATTTGAGTGCACGATCGATGTCGGGGCGCCGTTGATGCGGATCATCGGGTTGAGCCGGCATATTGACGATCATACTGTCGCTGGCTAAACACGGAACCATATTTCCGAAAAGACCCACTCACCAACGAGATCTCGAATGATTTCGGCGAATCGCTGGATCGAATGCTCCTCGGGATTGCCGATATTCACCGGTATTGCCGTGTTGCTGTTCATTAAAGCTATCAGCCCCTCGACGAGATCGGATACGTATTGGAAAGAGCGCGTCTGGCTGCCATCGCCGTAGATCTGTAACGCAAAAAGTTGTAAGATAAATGTTAACAAAAAGAGCAACAAAGACAGGGAAACAAAGACATACAGTGATCGGCTGTTTCTGCAAAGATTGGATGATAAAGTTGCTGACGACTCTGCCATCATCCATGTGCATTCGTGGGCCAAACGTGTTGAAGATGCGGGCAATTCGGATGGAGACATTCTCCTAAAACCAGATTTTTCAAAAGGATATATTTTTACCTGTTTGTTATAAGCAACCATCAGGCTCTCGGCAACACGTTTGCCCTCGTCGTAACATGAACGGGGCCCAATCGTGTTGACGTGGCCCCAGTACTCTTCCGGCTGGGGGTGCACCTAAAAATGAAAATAAAAACACAAGTATGTCCTAACCTCGGGATCACCATAAACTTCGGACGTTGACGCGAGAAGCATCCTGGCTTTCACGCGCCTGCAAAAACATGATTTGGATCAAGGAAAAACTAACTTCGCCAGCCCGAGCATATTAATTGTGCCGATGGTGTTCGTTTTGATCGTTTTCACAGGATTGTACATGTAGTGTGGCGGAGAAGCCGGTGAGGCGAGATGATAGATTTGGTCAACTAAATCACGGTTTCCTTTTGAAATCTAGCTCCACCTTCAACAAAATACGGGTTGACCACGTCATGATGAACCAGCTCGAAGTTTGGATGTCCAATCCAGTGCTCAATATTGCGCTTGCGTCCGGTGAAATAGTTGTCGAGTGCAATCACCTAAAGGATATGATGTTAGGTGCTCTCGCAATATCTGAGCGGGGAATCTAATTTTCCTATGGAATACGTAGTAAAGGGGTAATACAGGGTGTCCCAAAAAAAAGACCCCCCCCCAAAAATTTGAGCCAGAGGGCACCTACAGAGCTGAAACTTTGCACCGAGGTAGCGAAGCCAATTTCCCATGTATATGGAAAGTTTGAGTCATATCGGCCGACGGGTTTTAAAGTTATAGCAAAAATACTTTTCATTTTTAATTTAATATGGGGATTTTCGCAATTTGCATCAAAAATATGCGTTATTCTTGAATTTACGAGCCGATTTTGCATAAATTTTGCCAAAAAATCCATTCTCTTGCTGGAGCATGGCGCGAACGATTGCGTATGAAGAGTAAAAAGAGTGTAAAAACAACTGTTTTATCGATCCAAACCACGCCTTATTGTGCATTTTGGCAATCTGCTTCGCGCTAGCCCCGAAACAGAGTTCGATGAGCTTCTAATTGGTGCTTAAGTTTAGATTTGGGCTTGGGTTTAAGTCAGTCCAAAGTCTAAGCGAAGTTCAGGCGCTGAACGATAGTTTCAACCAATGTATCTTGTACTCAGCGGTCTTGCTGATCTTTTTCGCGCTGCACGAGCAATCGTTTTTCAAAAGCTCCAGCAAGCGAATGGAATTTTTGGGCAAAATTTATGCAAAATCCGCTCGTAAATTCAAGAATAACGCATATTTTTGATGCAAATTGCGAAAATCCCCATATTAAATTAAAAATGAAAAGTATTTTCGCTATAACTTTAAAACCCTTCAGCCGATAGGGCTGAAACTTTTCCATATACATGGGAAATTGGCTTCGCTACCTCTGTGCAAATTTTCAGCTCTGTAGGTGTCCTCTGGCTCAAATTTTTGGGGGGGTCTTTTTTTTGGGACACCCTGTATATGCTGAGATTTCCCTCAAAAAATCTCTACCTTTGAAGTAATACTAGGAAAAAAGAGCATGGAAACATAATACTTTGACCGCGAAAAAATTGGATACAAAGGAAGAAGTTTGTTGCGCTTCCGATATTGCCAAAACACCGAACTTTAAAAATAGGAGAAGTCCTAGAACCCAATATCAATTTCCGAGAACAAAAAGTGTTTACCTCATGACCATCAGCCATCAATTTGTCGACGAGGTGAGAACCGACAAATCCACAGCCGCCCGTTATCAGGATCCTTCGTCGCGACCTCTCATCTCGAAAGCGCACTGGCGGGAATGTTTTGGACGCGTTCCTGTCAACAATTTTAGACGCTCAAATTGCAAATGCTAACCCGCTGGCCCTCTGAGCGATAAGCAGTGCATTTAATTGGGCAAGCTGGGCCTCCAACGCTTCGATTCTTGCCGGGATGCCTTCATTTTGGTCTTGGAGCTCCCTAGAAAATAGATTTACTTCCATAAGCCGTCTCACTGTAACCGTGGATCCAGCTTTTCGACGCGTTTCTGGCCTCTTTCGTCAGGTGGGCTGTCATCAAGCACCGGCGCATTTTGGTTGTCTCTAAAATGGAACAATTTTTAGGGTTTTAGGCGAAACCTCTCGTCCGGATAATTGTTCTCAATGTCTTCTAGAGGTTGGTTATCGCCGGCATGACCGAGGGCCTGGCGTTTGGCGGATCCACTGTCTGCTACTTGTAGAGTGAGGGCTGAAAATGAATATTATTGGAAGTCGCGTAATAAAACGGTTTTGGTCGTATTCAACGTAGAGAAAAGGGAATTAGAGAATGTCACACGGTTTTCGGTAGCATGTTCAAAATTTCAAAGCAAAAAACAACGACAATAATCAACACCAGGTTCCTTACACCCTGTAGTAATTTAATGTAAAAGAGCATACCTTAGAGGCGAAAAGAGCTGTTTTAGAGTCTAAATACTTACAACGATGCCCGGAAAAAGACGATAACGCCGCCAGGTTTTTTCTAATTGTCATATCAAAAGCGAACCCACATAAAATGACGAGCGACGCGACGAGCATCACAACAAAAAAGAAGGTGCGCTGGCGTGCCAGCATGCGTCGGCGTAGATTCAGCAGACAACGCGGCAAATCGGGCATCGACGATCAACGGCGGTGCATCTCCCCGATCTAGCTACGCCCATCCACCTGGAAAAAGATGTTTCTGCTGCGACCGCCGCTCCATGTGGTCTGAACAACGAAAGGACACGAATCCAGTGGGGAACATCGCGATAAGAGTATAGCCACTTGGGGACAATGAGGAGGGATGGAGAGTCCGTGGGGGGCACACGCCATTGCACTACAAACAACGCCCCGACTGCCGCGAAATGTTGGTCCGAGCCAGCCCGAGGCCAACAAAAAGTGAAGGGACAGCCACGGCACGAGACGAGCGAGTCCATTATAAAGCGGACGGTGCGATGAAAGTGAGGCGTCTCTGAAGAATGGATACCAAAACAAAACACATCAAAACCGGAAACCATTCCGGCCTCATTCGGGAAAATCAAAAAATCAAAAAAAGACAGACAGCTTTTGAGAACGGGGAATGGCTATTCCGATCTTTTGATCGCTTTACACTATCCGGCGCTCAAAATAGGGGAACAGAAGCAGATAGTGTGAAATTGAAAAAAGACTATAAGAATTTAGGGTTCTTTCGCATTATCGGGGGGGGGGGGCGGGGGTTATCAGGGGGAAACCAACTTTTTTTCTTGGTATTCTATCTCTGTAATACAATGAGAAGAAGTCCTTCTAAGCTGTTTTTACTATAGCTCTGAACAAAAGCTCTACAGATGTTAGTCAAAATAAGGAAAATATAGTTTTTGACAAAAATTGCAAATCTGCCATAGCCGAAAACTCTGCCCCCCCCCCCGTTAACGCAAAAGTACCAGATTTACATAATTTTAAGAAAGAGGAAAGAGGTAGACAGCTAGTAACGCGGAGGAAGGGGTGTTACCATGGCTTTCGGCGCTCGGCAAACAACCCCGGAAAAGAATAAAAAAATTTACATCCTCGAAAACCCAAGCAAAAGGTTCTGGAAGTCAGTCAGTCTCGGCAAGATGAAGACAAGCAGTGCCCTGTAAGTAACCAAATCTACGCTTTACAAACCTTCCAGATGCCACTTCATCAAGAACAACCTGCTCCTCGTCTCGACCTTCGCAGCGGTCCTTCTCGGGATCAGCGCCGGCCTGCTCGTCAAAGAATTTTTCACGCCTAATGCCGAGGTGAGGGGTCAATAGTCCGAAAGTATTATTGGGTATTTGTAGGCGATTCGGTTGATCAGCTTCCCGGGCGAGATGCTGCTCCAGATGTTCAAGATGATTGTCGTGCCGCTGCTCACCGTCGCACTGATCGTCGGTGAGGCATATTTGTGAAAACTGGACATGAGAGCTAGGTGTCGGAAGTATGGATCGAGACGAGATGGGCCATATCGGAGGGACGGCGGTGGCAGTTTTTGGCGGAACGACCATTGCATCGGTGTTGGTGGGTGAACGTTGGGTTCTGGACTGTTAGCGGGGGGGGGGGGGAAGCCCCGCCGATACCTGATATCCAAAATCTTGCAACATAGAAACGGTTAATGATTTTCATGAACTTTTAGACATAAAGCGAATGATTTATACAATTATCTCTGCGATTTCAGATCGGTCTCTTGATAATGATTGCCGTTCATCCGGGCGATCAACACTCGGGCCTTTTGGCGGACCCAAATCTGAATAACTATGACGGGGGCCATCCGATCGACCCGTGGGACTCGATCCTCGACTTGATCAGGTTAGTCGATGTGGTGCTTTCTCAATATCGGAGGTTTCGCAGCGGGTTTTGGCGCCATGATGCCGATATTTAAAATATCGAAATTCGACATTCAAAGCAGCTATTAGTAGACGGTTTACCGGTGTCTTACAAATAATACTAACCGTTCAGAAACGCTTTCACGGACAACATCGTCGACTCGGCCAGCCGACTGCAGGCTACTGTCAAAAATAGTACGCCTTCTACCGCCCCATTACTTTTCTTTAGAAGCGGGCCGCGGAAAGGAGATGACAAAATATTGGGTGAAGGTTGAGGACGGGAATCGGACCCGTTTCGAGGAGCGCGAGATGCTGACCGATGTGCCGGGCACTGAATTGAAGAAGACGGTCGTGAAGAAGGATGGCAGTAATGTGTTAGGTAAGGCTTAAACAAACTTGATTGATTCTGACAATTCAGGACTGGTCACCTTTGCCCTGACGCTAGGGATTATCATGTCTTCTATGGGTGAAGAAGCTGAGCCGCTGATGAAGCCTCTGCGGGTTCTTGACAAGGCAGTAGCTACCGTGGTAAGCATTTGGATGCCTAGATAATACTTCTAAAAAGGTGACGCTCATCGTGTGGTACTCCCCGATCGCCATCGTGTTCCTGATCGCCGGCCAGCTGATCCAAGTCGATGACCTCGGGCGAACATTCAAGCAGATGGGTGGGGGGCTTATTGAGGCTTCTTCTTCGGCTTCCACTTGATTTAAACAACCTCAAAAACTTTAGGCTACTATCTCGGCATTGCCACGATGTGCCAAATCTTGGTGTTCGTCCTCCAAAACACGCTCTTCATGGTGCTCACCGGGACCAATCCGTTCAAGCTGGTCCATAGCCAGCTCAAGGCTATCGCCATCGCGTTTGCGACTGCTTCCAGGTAACTCGAGCTAAATTATTTGGTTCTTTCGCATTATCGGGGGGGGCGGCATCTGGGGATTAAAATACTTCTAACGCATAACTAGACCTATAGTATGATGCTAAAGAAAAGCGCTTTTTAGCACCGGCACAATCCCGGTGAACATGGAATGCATCGAGAAGAATATGGGCGTCAACAAACAGATTTCCCAAGTCATCATACCTGTTGGGGCGACGATCAACATGGTATAATCTTAATGTTCGAAGTGACCTTTCGCTTAGAACGGGACCGCGATGCATATTGCCGTCTCTTGCATGTTCATCGCCCAGCTAAATGGAATGACCCTTGGCTTCTCCCAATGGATCATGATTGCGTAGGTCAAAAGGGGATCCCATGACGCCTTTGCAGGGTCACATCGCCACTGGCTGCCCTCGGCGCCGCTGGAATTCCGGCGGTATCTTTGGTGACGATGACCATCGTGCTAACTGCCATCGATGTGCCGCTTGCCGGCATCAGCGTCGTCATCCCCATCGACTGGATATTGTTGGTGGCTAGAACGGAAACGACAGCTTCGCGTGTAGCCGGAGGAGAACCTAATTTTTTGTCCAAGTCATACCTAGTAACTGAATATGAAGTATTTTATTAGTTTTCCAGTCAAATAAGACCACATTTCAACCCGAAAAACTATCTAAAAACTTAAAACAATTTTAAAGTAGGAAATTTCGCCAAAAATGGCCATCGTTTGTCGAAAAATCAATTTTTTGGTGTTTTTTTAATCATATTTTGTTAATTATTTAGCTTTAGGAATAGTAAAAAAACGTTTAGAAAACTCCTTCTTGTTTTTGTATTGGAAAAATTGCAAAAAGAACCACAATCTGTTCATAGAGATCGCTTCCGGACCGTGAACAACACCTACGGCGATGCGATGGTGGCATGTCTGATTCAACACTACTTTGGTATCTTGTAATCCAAAAAGCGCAAACTCTTTCAGGCAAAAAGTTGGCCGAGGGCGATTCGGAACGCCAGCTTGAGTAGGGAAATTTGCTCCATCCGCTAAAGCATGTTTTAGAAGCCAATCCCAGGATAGGGATTCCACAAAGTCGGCCCCGGCCACTCCGACGCACACGACGCGCGAAGTGGTCAGCCATGATACGCAGTCGCACAAATCGCAAGATCACCACGGGGACACCCCTCCAAGGCCGGTAAGGTTACATACGTTATTTTACACGTTACATACTTTTGTGGTTCGAATGTTTGGTCAAATTTGTAAAGTTTGAGCAGCCCTATAAAGTATTTTTGAGGGCATTACAACGGACTAAGCTTCGCACTCTGTAGTTTAGCGTACTAAAACATTTAATCTGGAACCAACTTTTTAGTTAGAATTCAATTTTTGTATTATAAGTAGCGGAAGTGTTTGTAGACGGTTTTTTACTATTCTTCAATGTGAAAACTTCTCTTTTCTGAAAAAAAGAGAAATTTTTTCTGAAAACGTACGGAAAATACCGGGTTTTCAACCAAAATTTGAAAATGTTCGGCGTTTTAAGATAGTTTTATCTGAAACATAGTTAAATGTTACTAAAAACGATTAAAAACTTAAATTCAATCAAATACCAAAAATACCTTAAATATGAATTCGCTTTAGGAAACCCCACGAAGCCTTCATAAGCCAGCGAAGAACCTCACCGAGTACCTGTGGGCTAAATCCGCCGCAATCACACCTCACCACCGTTTAGGAACAACATGAATCAGGAGTGAGCTGTGCGGAAATGACAACACCGGCAATCGACCACTCGAATATCCATCGTCTGACAATTCTACAAAACCACCTGAACACGCAAACTACCTCGTACAGCAATAAACGCTTTTTTTCTATTCGACCCTCGTTTTGCTTCGACTTTTATGTGGCTTTATTTGTGATTTACGGCCTAGAAAATTATTTTTTATAATGTTTTGGCTTTTCCTGCCCCATATGAGGCAGGAAAAGCGAAGCTGACTTCGAATGGCTTCGCTTTACTGACCCGAAAATTTCTGGCCACCCTTTGCATACTAATTTAAAATGCTGAACTCTAAATGATTCATCGATCTCGTCGCCGGAAACGCCCCATGATTTCCAAACATCCCTCAAATATCAAGAAAATCCCAGCCGGTATGCATCATTCTCTATCCGCGCCTCTGCTGCGACTCTCTAAAATCGTCTGTTCCTGAAAAATGTCAATGGATTCGGGCCCTGTGCAAGCCGACGCCTTGTCGGACGCCGAATACTCCGTGTACACGCAGGCCCGGAGCACGATCACCGTCACCCAGGCCGAGCTCTTCTCCGTCTACGAGTTGGCCCCCACCGAGGCGATGGTCAGCATGGAAAGTCTCGCCAAAGGTATGATAACGGCTTAAGTGCAGTTTACCCCACCCCCCCCCCCCGCAGCCGGCACCCACCCACCGTATCTCGGCTCCCTGTTCATCTACAGGTGTGTGAAGTATACCAAAATACTCGCCAGAGCAAGACGAACATTTTGGTAGACTTTACACACCTGTAGATGAACAGGGAGCCGAGATACAAAAGTTGGGTGCCGGCTGGGGGGGGGGGCGGCGGGGGCTAAACTGCACTCTAACCTAATATTCGACTTTTGCAGGGTTTTTGGACGAGGCCGTCGACTGTTCCTTCTACGACCCGCCCCGCAGCGAGACCAACGTCAGCATGCTCGAGTCGCTCGATGGTACGTGAAACTGAAACTTCCAACTGGAAATTCTGATTATTTTAGCCGACCTGGAGACGGCCCTCGACAACTCCGTCTACGAGGTGTTGCCCAGCGAGACGGCCGTCAGCATGGACAAGTATGCCCTCAACGCCTATGCCACCAACCCGAGTAAGTTTTATGCATCGTCAAGTTTACGTACAGTCAAATCTCACTTCCAGGCGACTGCGACACTTTGAGTGACCACGGCGACTGGTCCTTCTACGAGATGCCCGACTCGGAGGCGCTCGTTGAAAGTAAGGAGTTGCGTCTCGTCTTGATACCTAAAGAAGAAAAAAATCTTGTTCTGAAATCGTTGTAGTGAGCGCCGCTGTCCCCACCGCCACGGAGGGGTACTCCATCTGGGTGTGCAGCTCGGAGACTGAGATCGACATGCGTGGCCGTTACACCCCCGTGCCGCTCAGCATCAAAGCTAAAGGTAGCTCAGCTTCTTGTTTCCGGAAAACGCACCTGCTCTAGGCAAGAACAAGAAGGGCCTCTATGTGAACAAGGCCTGAGCCTCCTTCAATCCCTGACGTCCACCCTGCCCGCTCCACGCCGATCGCCGCCGATTTACTCACTTAAAACTTTAATAAATCTTTTTGATGTGTGTGCCACGCTTTGAATCGGATTCGTGTTGACAACATTTATCGGATAGTTTCGGGGAAATATTGCACGAACAGTCTCGTTGCCTGGCCCCTGGTCTCTGCCTGGTCTCGCCGTGTAATTGAGCTTCATCAGATGGAGATGTCTGACTTCGATTCTGACGCTCGGCTATCGGTTTTCGGTGCTCTAAAAGGTCGGTAAGGACGGGCGGGTTTCTAGCCCTCGGACGTAACGAGTCACGAACGCGTCACACCACTTTACACCGCGTAATTGATTTCACAAACCCAGTTATTTGCGACAAATAATCTTGTAAAGGCTATTCTAACGCTAGAAACAAAAGAAATATAGTTGTAAAACAGATTTGGACGTGAAAGGGGCATAACTCTGCCTGTTTCGAGCAGATTGACAGTTTCGCTGGTTCATCACACACGACTAACTAGTAATGTAAAGTAATCCCCATAACAATAATGCTTCAATCACGAGTTCACTTTATCACTGCCGTTATAAATAAGTGTTACGCAAGGCCAGACACTTTGTTGATTGCACCTCTACAAAACCAGCCGAGCTTCGTCGAGATAATTTAAAATTGAGGATGAAACCTAATGATGTAACGTTCGAGCATGCGTGAAACGCTGGTGATGATATGGGCATTGTAAAGCGCTTGTTTGGTTTTGCTTTTTACCGCTACCATTGCTCCTTCAAGTTTGGGCCATCTTAGCCACTGGCGTTGAAAAATAATAGCCCGAAACTGGCAATTTTGGGCTACGGTAGCGGATCCACGTTTAAGTGGCGGGGCACCGTTTAGCGAACAGTACAATCACTTGGCTAGTAAAGTGATACTCCAATGTAGTTTTCTATTAGTTATTTCACTTTTTATGGATAATAATAATTGATCAACAAAAAAAAATAATCAGACAAGCACACGCCTTACGTTTTTTTGCTCGCGCTTCTTGCCGATTTTTTGTTCGATTGCTTGCTGAAACGCATTTAGTCAAGGGTTTGTCTCACGGAGTGAAATGAATAGCGAGGATTTTCCTATGATAGTGAATATTTCAGGCAGTATAATGTCGGAAGTAGAAGAGTACGCTTGTCCAGCGATGTTCTGTCGCTATAGTACCCCATGGTCAACCACTCTGAAACGATATGTACATTCCCAGCACCCTGGCATCACTTACCCGGCGTCCCCGGCGCATTTGAAGGAATTTGCGTGCCAAGAATGCGACAAACGCTACGGCACGCAGAAACATCTCCGAGAACATCAGATATTAAAGCATGCAGCAAAGCCGGAGCTAGTTAAAAGTTTGATGGCCCCAAGGGCGTCAAAAAATTTTGCCGATCGGCCACCCCCGATCGGCGTAAAAACGAGTATTCTGGGGTAGTTTGATGCGCTGAGTTCGAATTTGCCACTCTTAGACTACAAAAATTTAATTTTAGACTACAAACTACAAAAAGTCGAAAATCTCCAAAACACGCCAAAAACACCTCTCCGGGGTGGTTTTTTGCGCTGAATCCGAATATAACAATGCCGCAACGCGTAAACCCCTATATTTGATCATTTCATGACTTGTAAGCCACATTTGGGACAAGTCGGAGTGCTGTGAAGCGGTCCCAGGCTTACAACCAGTCATAATAACGACAGCGAAAGTAGTCAACGGGTACCGCCTAGCAAGGTCCAAAACAGCGAAGCCCCGTGGCTGGTCCAAACTAGCATTCATGTTTGAGCATAAAAGTGAAATTCATTTCAGAAATCGGCTTTTATAGCGAGCTGCAATAAAATTATACCCGCGGGACCCGATGGCATAATCACATTAACCGTGATAGGCTTGCGGATTCACAGCATTTAAATGTATTATTGGTAATTTTCAGATTTTCTGCGTTGTAGTGTATAGTATATACAGGTCTACGCGTTGCGTCATTGTTATATTCGGATTCAGCGCGAAAAAACCACCCTGGAGAGGTGTTTTTGGCGTGTTTTGGAGATTTTCGACTTTTGTAGTTTGTAGTCTAAAATTAAATTTTTGTAGTTTAAGAGTGGCAAATTCGAACTCAGCGCATCAAACTACGCCAGAATACTCGTTTTTACGCCGATCGGGGGTGCCCGATCGGCAAAATTTTTTTGACGCCCTTGGGGCCATCAAACTTAACTAGCTCCGCAAAGCCTACTGTTCGGAAGCGCGAATCACTTGCTCGGTGTGCTCGGACACGTTTTCTGGCCACCAGGAACTAGTTGTTCACTTCCAGTAGCATGATGAAAAGTACGCGGGTGTCTTTAAGTATATGCTTGAGTATATTGGTGGATGACGCTCCAGATCTTCCTTTACCAATAGTACACGACCCAGAAGCCGAACACTGCGCGAAGGTCAACCAGTGTCTAAATGTAAGTCGAATACGAAAAAACAACCTTTCCAGACACTCAATGCCTTGCAGCTTGCCGTCCGTTCTTCCAAAAACACTCCAAAAATCTATGAGCTTAATGCCTATTTGGCTAAAAAAATGGAGGAGTTCATGGAGGGGGAGAAGTTCGGCAAACTTGTTAAAGAGAATAGAAAGGCCACGCCGATCCGCGATGCAAGCAAGACGTACCAGATGGAGAAACGAACCGCAAGGAATGCGTTCTTGGCGCAGCAAAGAAAAGCCAAAGATTAATCCCTCAAGTCAGGTTGCTATTGTTTATTCTGTTGTTCCTGTTGTTGTTATTTTGCTCTTTTTGTTGAAATAAACACTTCCAAATGCGTTTCAGCAAGCAATCGAGCAAAAAATCGGCAAGAAGCGCGAGCAAAAAAACGTAAGGCGTGTGCTTGTCTGATTTTTTTTGTTGATCAATTATTATTATCCATAAAAAGTGAAATAACCAATAGAAAACTACATTGGAGTATCACTTTACTAGCCAAGTGATTGTACTGTTCGCTAAACGGTGCCCCGCCACTTAAACGTGGATCCGCTACCGTAGCCCAAAATTGCCAGTTTCGGGCTATTATTTTTCAACGCCAGTATCTTAGCCTACGACTCTCAGTTATAATGTGTGATTTGGGTAATTCAGAAAAGATTCTTGAATTGCGAACATTGTGTGTACAATGTTTGCAAACGATAATTGCTCGCGAAAATGGAGAACGACGTGTTGGTGCCTATCGAAAAAGCTTCTTCGTGTTAGAACAGGCTTTCTTATTCGTACTGCTGTGCAAAGAACCAGCGAAACTGTCAATCTGCTCGAAACAGGCAGAGTTATGCCCCTTTCACGTCCAAATCTGTTTTACAACTATATTTCTTTTGTTTCTAGCGTTAGAATAGCCTTTACAAGATTATTTGTCGCAAATAACTGGGTTTGTGAAATCAATTACGCGGTGTAAAGTGGTGTGACGCGTTCGTGACTCGTTACGTCCGAGGGCTAGAAACCCGCCCGTTCGGTAAGGTAGTTAAGTGCCTACCCAGGAGGCGTATGAATTCCATTTACGAAATTTGAAATTAGCAAGATTCATACATCCGGAAATGAATAATTAGCATACAACAACCTGAGTATTTAATTAGACCTTCTAGCCTTCCATGTGTTTCCATTCTACAACGTGATGAAGTTGGCCGTGGGCCAAAGAGTCCGCTATGGTCAGTTTTCGTTAGCGTCGTGGGGCTTCTATTTCAGCAAACTCTTTTATTTAATACGTTTGCCATATGTACAAGAAGAGCCAGAATTTGGTGCCTCAGCATGCCCATGCCCACGGCTCGCCTTTTGGACTGTCGGCGCTGGGACATGTCTGAATTTTGATGTAGAAAATCCCAAAAATGCAACATTACACAACTTACTGAAATTCGATTGAATAAATTTGGCGACATGACCACAAAACGCTGCGTGCGATAGTTGGAGCATGGTTGGTCGATAAGCTCCTTCAGGTCAATGCGCTGGCGTCATCAAATTTATCGGCAAGACGAGTTTTGCCCCGGGGCAATGGATCGGGGTACAACTCGACGACGATTGCGGTCGGCACAACGGCCCTGTTCTGGGGGTGCGCTACTTCAGCGCCAGGCCCGGGTGCGGAATTTTTATCAAGCCCGAGAATGTCGTAGGTTTTGTTTCGGCTTTTTTATTGTACCGAAATGGTCTCTTTTCAGGCACACGAACTTTATTTTCAGCTGCTCGACGTGCCTCTCACCACCCAGCCGCCGCTCCTCGTTTCGGATGAGGTTGCGCCCGAGAAGGATGCGGAACCGGACGAGAAGGTCTTGTTCCCGGAGGTCCAGGTGATCCCAAAAATCGTAGGTTTTGTGTCGGCTTTTTTATTATACTAAGATGGTCTCTTTTCAGGCACACGAACTTTATTTTCAGGCCCTCGACGTGCCTCTCACCAACCAGCCGCCGCTCCTCGTTTCGGATGAGGTTCAGCCGGAGAAGGATGCGGAACCCGACGAGAAGGTCTTGTTCCCGGAGGTCCAGGTGATCCCAAAAATCGTAGCTTTCGTTTCGGCTTTTTATTGTACCGAAATGGTCTCTTTTCAGGCACACGAACTTTATTTTCAGCTGCTCGCCGTGCCTCTCACCACCCAGCCGCCGCTCGTCGTTCCGGTTGAGGCACCGCCGGAGAAGGATGAGCAGCCGGACGAGAAGGTGTTGTTCCCGGAGGACCCGGTGATACCAAAGATCGTAGGTTTTGTTTCGGCTTTTTTATTATATTAAAACCAGCGGGGGAGGAGCCGCTTCGCGACTCTCCCCCGCTGGACCCCGTCTAGGTCCTAAGAATCGAGCGCCCTTCTACATAAAGTTACCCTGAAGAAAGAAAAACGCATTCCCATGCAAACCTATTTGTATTGACATGCGGCGCAAGCTTCTAAAGCCTGCGGCGCTAGCTTGAGCGGCTGGCTTCGTTCTAAAGCCTGCGGCGCTAGCTTGAGCGGCTGGCTTCGTTCTAAAGCCTGCGGCGCTAAGCGAGCGGCTGGCTTCGTTCTAAAGCCTGCGGCGCTAGCTTGAGCGGCTGGCTTCGTTCTAAAGCCTGCGGCGCTAGCTTGAACGGCTGGCTTCGTTCTGAAGCCTGCGGCGCTAGCTTGAGCGGCTGGCTTCGTTCTAAAGCCTGCGGCGCTAGCTTGAGCGGCTGGCTTCGTTCTAAAGCCTTCGGCGCTAGCTTGAGCGGCTGGCTTCGTTCTAAAGCCTGCGGCGCTAGCTTGAGCGGCTGGCTTCGTTCTAAAGCCTGCGGCGCTAGCTTGAACGGCTAGCTTCGTTCTGAAGCCTGCGGCGCTAGCTTAAGCGGCTGGCTTCGTTCTAAAGCCTTCGGCGCTAGCTTGAGCGGCTAGCTTCGTTCTAAAGCCTGCGGCGCTAGCTTGAGCGGCTAGCTTCGTTCTGAAGCCTGCGGCGCTAGCCTGAGCGGCTGGCTTCGTTCTAAAGCCTGCGGCGCTAGCTTGAGCGGCTAGCTTCGTTCTAAAGCCTGCGGCGCTAGCTTGAGCGGCTGGCTTCGTTCTAAAGCCTGCGGCGCTAGCTTGAGCGGCTGGCTTCGTTCTAAAGCCTTCGGCGCTAGCTTGAGCGGCTAGCTTCGTTCTAAAGCCTGCGGCGCTAGCTTGAGCGGCTAGCTTCGTTCTGAAGCCTGCGGCGCTAGCTTGAGCGGCTGGCTTCGTTCTAAAGCCTGCGGCGCTAGCTTGAGCGGCTAGCTTCGTTCTAAAGCCTGCGGCGCTAGCTTGAGCGGCTGGCTTCGTTCTAAAGCCTTCGGCGCTAGCTTGAGCGGCTAGCTTCGTTCTGAAGCCTGCGGCGCTAGCTTGAGCGGCTGGCTTCGTTCTAAAGCCTGCGGCGCTAGCTTGAGCGGTTAGCTTCGTTCTAAAGCCTGCGGCGCTAGCTTGAGCGGCTGGCTTCGTTCTAAAGCCTGCGGCGCTAGCTTGAGCGGCTAGTTTCGTTCTGAAGCCTGCGGCGCTAGCTTGAGCGGCTGGCTTCGTTCTGAAGCCTGCGGCGCTAGCTTGAGCGGCTGGCTTCGTTCTGAAGCCTGCGGCGCTAGCTTGAGCGGCTAGCTTCGTTCTAAAGCCTGCGGCGCTAGCTTGAGCGGCTAGCTTCGTTCTGAAGCCTGCGGCGCTAAGCGAGCGGCTGGCTTCGTTCTAAAGCCTGCGGCGCTAGCTTGAGCGGCTAGCTTCGTTCTAAAGCCTGCGGCGCTAGCTTGAGCGGCTGGCTTCGTGCTAAAGCCTGCGGCGCAGGTTTGAGTGACTAACTTCATAATAACGTCCCTACACGGAAATCTACTCCGAAACGCACTTTCCGAGCAGAAAGCAAAACAACTAAGATATCCGAGAACCGAACCACCGATGGTTGGATTAGCAGGGCGAAGCGCTAACCACTACACCATGCAATGCTTGACAGCACGCCCCAAACACCCCTTTTATGTCTCAAGGGGGCTGCCCGGGGCAGGGGAAGGAAAGGCATCGAGAGGCAGATCCAAAGAGACGACCAAACTCGCGACTGCAACTGGCAAGAATAAAGAAATTTGTATTTTTTCACATTATGCAAATTAGCCCTCCCGGACCCCCAAAAATCAATAAAACCGGCTTTAACTTTGTAAACTTGTATTTTATCGGCATTCTGAAAGCGCCATCGGAAAGAGGAGGGTCGATTCCCCCGGGTGACGGAGAATTAGGGCATTTTGGACGCGGGAAGGCCCTCAAATCGGGCCTGGAAAGTGACATCCACACACACACACACACACACAAAGATACGCGACCAAATTATATAAGGTAGGATGGTCTCTTTTCAGGCCCTCGATGTGCCCGTCGCAGGCCTTGGAGACGCACACCACATCACGTTCGGCCTGTACGCGGGATCGGCGGTAACAAGCTACTTATGGCTTAATCGCAGTCTAGGTGCCCCTGGAACGCATCGTCGGCGCCTATGAGCTATTGTCGCAGACGCGCGTGCTCGTTTCCAAGGCGGTGGAAGTTGAGGTGAAGCGCTATGGGCGCCTTCCCGCCGCACAACTGACACTCAGCCGGTAATTCCGCCCTTAATATCGTGATGGGATCTCGTATTTTCAACCCCTTTGGCGCTTCGAATAGCTAGGCTATGTTGTGTTTCTATCTTTGGTCTTTCAGTGCACCCCGTGATCCGTGGAAGATGCGATGGGCTCCAGATGTTGACCGATGAATGGATTCTCGCGCTGATCGTGGACGGGAAGAACTCGTGAAGGGACTGGCGCACGTCACTCCGAGGGGCCGCGACAATAATAGCCACGTCGGTTTTTCACCCCCACCCCCGCATTATCGACGGGTTCAACTTTTTTTCTAAGGATTCAGTTTCTCTAAAATCAAAAGGGGAAGTGTTTCTAAATAGTTTCTTGCTATTCCTAACCGCAAAAACTTTACAATTTTGATTACAACACGAAAAATATCGTGGCTTTGACCAAAAATGGTCGATTTCCGACCAAAATTTCAAATAAGATTTTATCAAATCACATCTTCCGCCCCGTCTATTTAACGATTTTTATAGTGCGGCCGTTGCGGTATTTTCCAAGAGCCGGCGAAGCTGCGAGGGTACGGATTGTGGACTCAGGGAAACGGCGCCAAGAAGTTGTGTGGCGGTTGTCGACATCGTCTCGAGTAAAGGCCCGGAAGAATTTTTCCGGAGCGTTCGGTCTATAGAAATTCGCATTTTCAGTAAGCACCTGCCCAACGAGCCGTGCCACGACTCCTACGTTTGTCGCAACTATCGACTGTGCGACTGGGATGGCAGCGACGTGGCGATCGACCGTGAGTTTCGCAGCGCGAAAAGGAGAAATATTTAGTCGAGAAACAAACTGGAAAATAGAAAGAAAAAATAGAGTTATCGGGAGGGGGGGGGTTAGCAGGGGGCAACAAACTTTTTTCTTTAGTATCCGATTTTTCTGATATAAATAGGGGAAGTGTCAATAACTGCTTGTTACTTATTTTAAACGTCTAAACTTTACAAATATTTCTAAATATAGCTTATATACAGCTCTTTAAAAAGAAGCTTTTTCGACCAAAATTGAAGGATTTTCGTAAAAAAATTCAATTCGAAACTGGAAATATTCTACTTAATTACTAACGTAAACATTACAAAATAAATACTTGATCTCACAGGGAGCTGCGGTGCCTGCATCTGGCAGCGTGCCATCGAGTGGAAGATCGTCGATCAGACGGCCGTCGAGGAAATGAAGAAGGGCGCCCAGGGGAAGAAGCACCGTCGATCGCTGCCCGTTGATCCGCTGAAGGTCAAGCCCAAGAGGCGCCAGCTGAAGAAGCGTGCCGGCTGACCGTTTTAAGCACATTATCGCCCTTAACTACTCGTGTTTGTGATTATTAATCTTTTTTTTTGTATTCCACATCCGAATCGCGTATGATACAAATAAATGAAGGGATATTCACCTGGTCCGGCCCTGTTTCATTGATTTAGGTGATTTATTTCGGCTTCACCGGAAATAGAAGAAAGGATCTCCCCATCGCATACGTCATTAGCATATTTGCTCTACAATGAAAAAACTGTCTTTGCATCCAAACCCTCAAATAAAAGGGCTCGTCCCCCTTATTCCACGTATTCTTCATCACCATGGCCAACTTCATCCAGCGCAATTTGCTGCTGACGCTGACGATCGCGGCCGTCATTGTCGGAGCAATCATCGGCATCGGCCTGAAAGCGACGATGAATTTGGGCGAAGAGGTGCGTCGACAACGCTTGCCAAAACGAATTTTCAGGCTGGCAACCTGATCGGGTTCCCCGGCAAGATCCTGTTGCAAATGTTCAAGATGATCGTCGTTCCGCTGATTACCGTGGCGCTCATTTGCGGTGAGTCGATAGGTGTCTCGGAGCCCTATGTGGCACTGGTATGTTAGCGGGGGAGGGAGCGCTGAATAACTTTGGCCTTTCGCTACACAGGATCTTTTCGAAATTTTCATTTTCGGTCAAAAAAAGTGGCCTTTTGGTAGTCAAAAACTTCTACAAACGCTATAAGTAGGCTAGGTAGTCCCCCCGCTAACAGCCCGGTCCTCATCTATCTTCGATTTTATCCCGACATCATCATCGTCTGGCGAGTTTAGGTGTTGGTGGGATGCGTAAAGAAGAAATGGGGCGCATCGGCGGGCTGGCGACGGCCGTCTTCTTTGCCAGCACGATTGTGGCTGTCCTTGTAAGCCCTATTTTTCCAGAAACTCGTAACTTCATCTAGCTGGGCATCATCGTGATGTGGGCCGTGCACCCCGGTCGACCTGACGCAGATCTGGTCGCAGTCTGGAGGAGCGAGGAGAACAAGGACAAGAGTGCGTACGAGCCCGGCGACCCGATGGACACGTTTTTGGACCTGCTGCGGTACTATAAAGCAAACGCCTGTATTGCCCTGGTCTTAGAAATGCGTTCACCGAGAACCTCGTCGATTCCGCCATCCACTCCAAAGGAACGGTGCAGAAAAGTGAGCGACAGTTTCCGGGGCTGAGATAAAACACAATTTACGTAAATAGGGTGATTACCTTCCTCCGCGTAGATTTCAAGTTTTTCCCTTCCACTAAAATAGTTTTTACTATACCACTAGGCTTTTCGGTTCTTTCGCATTATCGGGGGGTCCTCTACTTTTTTCTTTTCCTTTTTCACCAACTTTTCGGTTCCCTCCTTTTTAAATATAAATAGTGCAAATGCTTCTAAATGGTTTTTTTATGATTCCTAGACGTCAAACATTACAATTTGTATTCAAACTAAATAAAATATCGATTTTGCGACCGGAAATTGCCATTTTTTGAACAAAATTTCGACTTTTAATAACTCTTAGATAATTTTTCTAGTTGACATGTACATATGTAATAAAGAAAGACTATTAAAACACTTTCTATTAAGTTACTAGGCATTCCTAGACTTATACAGAAAAGTTCGGTCCCACCTGATAATGTGGAAGAACCGGCTTTCCTCCTAAAATTTCTTACCACAACATGCCGTCAAACAAGCTCTTTGTAGGGCTCGACGAGATGGTGACCGGTGGGACGAGGCCACCCTACTACAAACTCAACAACACCGACTTGGATATCAAAGAAATGCCGGACGAGATCGATGGCTCGCAGCTCAAGTACGTCAAAGTCGTCGGCGAACGCTTGCCAAACATCACGCGGCCCAGCAGCGATCCTAAGAAAAAGAAGAAGGTGATTATCGACAAAGACGGCAGCAACGTGCTCGGTTGGTCACCAAACCATTTGATCGAATTCTTATGGCGAATTAGGTCTCGTCGTATTCGCCCTGACCCTCGGCCTGATCGCCTCGACGATGGGAAAAGAGGCTGAGCCGCTGATGCGCGTGATGAAAGTGCTTGACAAGATGATCACGAAAGTGGTGAGCGAGCGCGACGAACAACAGGATGACACTTACAATTCTAGGTGACGTTGATCGTATGGTATTCTCCATTCGCCATCATCTTCCTGATAGCCGGCCAGATCGTAGTCGCCAAAGACATGGGCAAAACGGTCACGACAATCGGTAGCTTCCGGCCAGCATCTAGACGACCGGTTAATATTTAGGGTTCTACCTGATTGTCGCCACCTGCTGTCAATTCGGCATTTTCATCTTGCAAAACGTCTTCTTCGCCATCGTCACGCAGAGCAACCCGATCAAGCTGGTCAAAAGTCAATTGAAGGCCATTGCCATTGCCTTTGCCACCGCTTCAAGGTTTGGGCGCGCGAAATTGCAAAAATTAACTTCAGCACCGCCACGATCCCGGTGAATATGGAGTGCATTGAGGCGAACATGGGCGTCAACAAGCAGATCTCACAAGTCATCATCCCCGTTGGGGCGACGATCAACATGGTATAACAGTATCAGCCACAACATGTCTTTGTGATAGAGTGGCACATCGATCCACATTGCTGCTTCCTGCATGTTCATTGCCCAGGTCTCCGAGACGCCACTGAACTTTACCCAATACGTTATGATCGCGTAGGCCCCGCCCGTGAATCCAAAAATTAGGATATTTAGTGTCACCTCGACCATGGCTTCCCTTGGCGCCGCTGGCATTCCTTCAGTCTCGCTGGTGACGATGGCCATCGTGCTGACCGCCATCCAGGCACCTGTCGGTGGCATTGCCACGCTGATACCGATCGATTGGATTTTGTGGGGTTTAAACTTGGATATGAAGCCTCTTGATTTAGGGACCGCCTCCGTACCGTCAACAACACATTCGGCGATGCAATGGTGGCCTGCCTAATCCAGCACTTCTTTGGTAAGCAGCAAAATCCGGTTTAAAACGCTCAACCGCCCGCCGCCTGAATTTTGTCCAAACTTCTAAAGAGTAAGGCCTGTTTTAGGACGCCAGTTACTCGAGGAGGAGACGCAGCGCGCCCTCAACAGCCAGGCGGGCGATGGTGATTCGGAAGCGTCGGCCAGGGGAACTGAACGCAGCATGGCCAAGGAGAAGAGCGCGAAGACCAGCAAGAGTCAGGAGCGTCTTCAGGCGACCCAGGCCGACACCTCGGTATCATCACCAATCTGACAGCAATTTCTTCAGGAGACCAATACGGCTGGAACGCCCGAAAGGCAAGTCTGATTTGGATCAGAAACCGACCCCCACCACTGGTGGTTGCCCCGATTTCTACTCGACTCCGACATCCCCTCCCGACGTGGGGCCCAACATCCCCTACCCAGAAACATACCTCAATTTAGTGACCCAACTGGCCATGGCTCTGACGATCGCGACTTCCCATAGCCCTCTTCTTCTTCGCCCAACCCTCTCATCCATCGATTGTCGTATATTTCTCTGATGTATTCGCGCATCAATAAAAGATCTCGACAAGGCATTCAGCACGCAATTGCAACCTTGAATACACCTCCATTTGAACCGTTTTTATTACAATGGACCAAAAAATATCCTTATCAGTACACGCATCAAAGATTGTACCCGTCTTATATTAGTAGAGCTGAGGACGCAGACGGGAAAGAGGGCTAAAAGTACAAGTGAAGCAAGCTCTTTGGTAATTGAATACAAGCAAGACAATTGTTCCCGCGACAATCATCTTTGGGTCCAACATAACAATTATTCACAGAAGGCCAACAATGGATAGAGATAGCAGCCAACCGCGCCATCAAGATTGACCTGGTGGTGCTGGTGGCGGCTAACTAGAAAAACAAAGGGTATTGCACAACGTATCCACGGGCGGATGAGAGAGAGATATGAATTGATGAGCGATGAGGAGCCGTGAAAAGCCGTCGACTCACACAAAACGTTATAATTTCGTGGAATGGATGCTGAGCGGTGACGCAGTGTGAGATCGTTCTTGGACAGGAAGTGTCTCGTCGACTATATCCATTCGTAGAGGAGACTAGAAAAATGGATTTAATGAACCGGTGCTTACGCATTATCAGGACCACAATTTTTCATCTTAATAGACCGTTTCTTAACCTTTTTACCATTTCTAACAATTCATTTTCAAATTTTCTGAAAAATCAAAAAGAAATATCGCCTCTTCGATCAAATTAAAAGTATTTTCTAAGTTTTTAGATAGTCTGTCACTAGAAATAAAGCAACAAAATCTAATAAAATTTACTAATATGCTGAGCAGGGACGTAGCGTAATACCGGCCCCGGGGCCCGGCCCCGAAATCGGCCGGGGCCCGAAAATTTCATAAGGGGGGACCCTTATGATTTTCATTTTCTCAAAAATTTTGCTGCCTGCGGCGCTTTTTACGTTTTTACGGCGATTTGTAGAGCTATGCAACCTTTTTTCCAAAAACCAGGGTTGAAAAGCCGCTTCGCGACTTTTGAACCCTGGCCCCGTCTAACCCTATGATGTTCTTCGTTTTGATGACAAAAAATGAAAAACGCTCCCTTTGGGCCTTTATATAGGTTTCTGCAACTTCCGGCGTATGCTAATTTTATCCTAACAAAGTGGGTGTCGGAAATTTTAAGAAAAACTTAATTTTAATGTCGAAAACAACATATTTTTCAAAATCCGATATGTGTGCAGTCATCTCCAGCCCATTACGCATCTAATGACGAATCAGACACCTCCTCAAACCCATCCCCTCTTGAGATATCCTCCGGACACCCTGACGGAAGTTGCATGCAAATGCACACACACACACACACACACAAAACACTATTTTTTTATATATAGTAGGATTTTTGCCTGCGGCGCTGTTTTCTCGTTCATCTTTTGAGTTTTTTCGAAAAATTTTTTGGGGCCCCCCGAAATTTTTTTCTGGCTACGCCCTTGATGCTGAGTATACGCGACTAGGCATTTGGAGCTAATAGGAAAAATTCGATCCCCCGATAATGCGAAATCACCGATCTCTGAAAATACTGAAAAGCATACATGTCTGGCTGAAGTTGCGGTCGAGCACCTGGAGACGCCAGACCGATTAGCAGTGCTGAGAAGTCGATCTTGTTGTAACATGGACTAAAACAAACAAAAAAAATCAGGAAAACGAAATCTACCAAACCTGCTTTCGGAAGAAGGACTCGGGGACATGACCCACGACTTCGGAAGCGAAAGTCTCGTCGGCATTGGCCCGAGAACCTCGAATGATTGCCTAAAGAAAGCCTTTGAAAAAAAGACAAATAAACCATACCCCTGATCGATTAAGATAACCGGAACCGGGCAGGGTTGATCCCTTGCTCCCATCTTGTTCCTCCGTCTTCTCCCACCACCACGTCGACTCCTCCACCATCTGGCGAGATACCCTGTATCTCGGAATAGCGTTTTCAGAGACTTTTCGCAGCCTAGTTGCCTGGCTGCACGCGATCAAGAAAACAACATTCACCTCCGGTACGCATAGATGGCGATGAGAATGGTGATGATGGCCATACAGACGAAGAAGCTGAGCGCCGAATAAGACACCGTCTCGTAAACCTAAACAATCGTTTAAAAGCGAACGGAAAAAAGTGCCTCGGTGTTAGCGGGGGGAGCAAGGCAAAATGTTTCTCGAATAACGGCTTTACAATCACAAGAATTCCCCATTTTTTTACAGAGGAAATACTGTGATGATAATTACAAAGGTTTCGAACAATTCTGAGTTTTCGGCCAGGATTGGACAAAAGCTTTAAGAAAAATCTTGAAATTTTTTTCCTTTTTTAACTTTCCCAAGCTTTTGTAATTTTCTAGTGATGCTAAACCACTCAAATCCAAAAGTCCATCTGTTTTTTTATTACACCGGACATGGGTGACAAAAAAACCGGCCTTACGCCCCCGCTAACAGGGAAGTGCCGAAAAATGAGAGTTAAGATGGAGACATGTTAGTGCAAGCGATCCTTAAAAAACAGGGTGCGTGCAAATTATCAGCGGGAATTTTGTGTGAGGTGCCGTGCAAAAATGTTTGAAATAGACCTCAACGGGTATACGTTTTGACGGCTGCGTAATGGCAAGCTTAGTCGTTGTAGAAATTATCTCGGGCTAGACTTTGGCTTTTCAAATAACTTGCAGGCAATCTCACCGATCTCGAAAATTCTGCGACCGGGCCAATGTGACGGTGGTAGTCGTAAACGTCTTCGCAGTGTTCCCCGTCATAGCCATCAGCACATCTGAAACACGAAATTAGGGGTCAGTCAGTCAAAAGCGGTCAGCACAAAGACCGAAAACTGACAGGCATTGCTCGATGAACTTTTCGCCAAATGGATGCTCCTTTCGAATACAGGTGCCGCCGTTTTGACAGATCTTTGTCTAAAGCAGGGGCTGAACGCTTATAACTTTACAATACCTCACACGGCAACGGATTGTCATCAGACCATCCCCGGTCGTACTCTTCGAATTCGTCGTCGACCTCGTTGTCTTCGGAAGTTGATTCAAATACCTAAAAAACAGCCTTATACCGCACAACGTCAAAAACATACTGGACTTATAAGAGCAGTGCTGTTGACAAAGTCTTCGCCGCTACCATCATCAACCGGAGGTGATTCTACTTCTCGTTTCGCTCTCATGCAGCCTGCTGAAAAAGGCTATATGTGGATTTCACGCTACAGGAGGCTAAAATCAAACGGAAACCTTAAAAACTTTGGATTCGGTCCTACTACCCTATACAATCAAATGCGTTCCATTTAGCGCAACCACTAAACTTTGCGATTGTCGCCGGTTCGGCTAGTTGAAACACGGGAAGCTGATTCAGCAATGAGTACCCGGCGCCCGCGCAAAACATCAGTTGTGCGGTAAGAAACCACCCCCGTCGCTTCCAACCTATCTAGCCTTAGCTCAACAGGATAATTTTTACAAATTTGAAGACGCGGCCTAGAGAAAAAACCAATTTAGTTTCGAGGATGGATCCATCTGCAACATCTAACAGGGGATGGCTTGGAACGGCGGAACGGAATAAAAGTAGCATGCCATCAGGCGGGCGCGACAGGATACACCGGTAATCCTGCATAAGCTGGTGGGAACTAATATGACCATGCGCCCCACAATAGATCCCCCCGCCCCCGGGCACTTCAAACAGTTTACAATGAGAGCAATTTTGGTCGTAAACACGAATGGTTACAGGACAGGCAAAGGGCCAGAACATCCAGGTTAGGCCACCGGATATGTTTGCATTTAATCTATAGCTAGGGCGCGCGCCATTTCGCCACTTTTTTTCGTCTTTGGAAGGTCATGGACGAGGATTTGCCTGCCTAAGGGTTAGAGTCTCAAAAAATACTCACCTGCCGTGGGAAGGAGCGTTGATCCAATTAGTAGAAAACACAAAATGAGGTTCGGCTTCAGCATCTTTATCGGTGACCGTACGTAGCCAGGCAGTGATAGTGGATCACTTGCGCTTGGCTCTACCACCATCGCTTTTCATGGACTCTGAAATGGGAGTGGTTCATTCCAGAGGGTAAATAACAGAAAGTTGGTCCTGAGAGACGAAAATAAAAGAAAGGGTAGAAGCCGGCGACAAGTGTTGAGGCGCCTACCGTCTCGCGCACACGGGGGCTCTAAGACAAACAGATGGGCCCCATGGAAGAATTGGACGAGTAGGTGCGATGAATCAGCATCTACACCCTCACCGAAATGCATGTCTGATGGTCTTGATAGGGGGCAATGACGCAAGAACGACCAATTTTATAACCCATCCAGCGCTGGGGGTATTGTAAGCCGAGCGGGGGTGTTGCCAAATAAAGCAAAAAAAATAGCGCGATCAAGGAAGACATGCATGTACACTCATCCGATATGGAGGCAGCCCTCTCCTGGTTTGCTAGTCGAGTAGCCCCATCAGATCTGGAAAAATAAAGCAAGAAACATGCAGCTGGACACCGCGGATAGCCGGGGCTAGCGCGCGCAAATTCCCTTTCCCCAACTTTGTCAAGACAGCCTAAAGTATATTATTCTAAGTTACCCTTCTACCATCACTATAAAAACACAGGAAATGGCTATAATTACGCAGGAAATACGAAAGACCGGGTCTATCAGCCCACCACAGCGCTGCTTTAGACTTGCTCAACAAAGCCCTCCCTGCCCAGTTCGTCACAGTTCATTGGTGTCGTGGAACAGCCAGGCGTCCCACGAAGGAAGGATCGATGTGCCCTTTTTCAGGTGGTACCTGTAAAAAAACTCCAGAAGCCTGCACCCCGGACCCAAGACGGATAACGCCTTTTACATGTACCAGCTGCTCGCAACTTTCTGCCATTTGAGGTCACATTTTATCGCGTTCCTAAAGATACAATCCCGGGCGCCGCGTGTCCATTAAAAATGCCGTGAGGAGAACCCATCTCATTTGCCTTGCATACATGTGTAGCCTGAGCGGCGCGCCGGCTTGAAAGAGGATTGCCCATTTCAGCAATCCCTTGACGCAATTTAGCACCTCAAAACGGATAATTCAATCTGCTGCGCTGGGGGGCCCCGTCCGTATGCCCATCCCCGGCACTCATTCGCCTTACTTCACCTATGTAGGGCTACCGGGCTTCACATGAAATCATCCGGGTCTAATGCATGGCCTACCCGAAAAAGTCGCCTTCGCCCTTTATAACGACCGGCTTAGCTTTGCCCGATATGGCAAATGTCGGTCCCGTATTCATCAGTTGATTGAGTGGTACCCAATTGGGAGCGGCGCCATTCAACCCCGCGCGCCTTCCGGCAATAGGGCCCCCAAAAAACTAAAGGGGCGGTAAACATGGAATCGGAAGGCTAGCCATTTTAATCGGAGAACCCATATTCGTTGTTGCCAACATGTTGCATTTGCCCAAGCTCCAGCCCATCCGTACCAACCCATCACCTTCCAGGTACCCCGTCAGATGTCGATCAGATCGCCCGCACTTGTGGCCGGAGCATTGCTGCTCCTGTGCAGCGCTTTGATGGCGGAAGAGCTTCCCGATGACGCGGCATTTCAACGGGAAGCGAGGGTATGTGCATCTATTAAACACCTAAAACTCACTTTAGAACTTTCCCTATTCAATCAATCTGGTCAAACTCCTCCCACCAACACGTGAACGGGTCTATGTGGCAAATGATGCACGCAGTCTAAAAGCGGCAGAAGATGATCTCAACTCCATCCTCGAGAGCCTTGACGCGAACAGTCCGTCGAGGAAGCAAAAAAGTGAGTGCAACGTCGCAAGCAACTAAAATGCCCCTCTAGGATACGCTTGCCGCTTCAAATTCTGCCGCATTTTCGACGCATGATTCCAAAAACTATGGGCGATGATACAAAGGATGGATGTCTTTTCTCTGTTGACGAAATAAATTGCGTTCGACATCAGCTGCATTTTTTTAATATACTATGCAATCATACACGTTTATTCAACTTGAGACAGCGACAAATTAACAAATTCACACGTCGGTTAGGGCAATGAGCATTTACAAATAAATGAAGCCGATGAGATGAGGTAGTATTTGTGTAAAGCTGAGGACCGTTTACTCGTTGCGGAAGTAGTTGTTCCATGGACCGGCAGGCTTGAGCTGGTTGAGACGCTTGCGAACCTCCTGGAGAACCTAGAATTGAACAAATAAGTTGCAAGTTATTATGAGCTACCTCTTCTTGGACGCTGTAGATGTTATCGGCTTGGGCAAGGGATGTCTCCAGCTCTTGGAGATAGGTGATGAAGCCGTCGAAATTGCTGCCCTGACCCATCATCTGGCTGCCTTTTTCACGGAGCACCGTCAAGCGCTGCTGCAGTTCCTGGTTGGAGCGGTGAATTCCCTTCATCAGAAGCTCTTCAGGGTCAACCCTTCAAAGAAAAATTTACAAAAAGAATAAAAATAGCTTACTGAAGGTTTGCGGCTTCGGTCTCGAATTTGTTCTTGAGATCTCCCAGGGAACCCTTGACTTCATTCATCTTGTCAGAGGCCCATTGTCCCTGTTCGCGAACGACCTGGACGAGGGCAAGGTTCTTGTTGAACTTTTCGACGGCAGCCTGGACTTGTCCGGAGAGCGGGTCGATGACTTGTTTATGAGCCTAAGCAGTGAATATTGATATTCAAAAAAATAATTATACCTTCAGAGTAACAAACTCGTAGAGTCCACGAATGACCGCCTTCACCCGTTCCAAAACCGAGCTTTCCTGGGCCGATGGGATTTCCAAGCCAAGCGACTTTTCCAGGATGGCGCTCACGACATCAAGGACGGCATTCAGAACATCGGACGACTTTTCGGTCGCAAATCGTAGTGGGCGCTAAATTGAACCAGAATATTGATTAAACATGAAAGACAAACCTCGACGGTGCCTCGCACCCCTTCATATGCATTCATGACGCGGACCTTGGCCGGGTGAAGAGAACCGGCAGATTTGGCCTTCACCAACTTCATGCCGTCGAGGAGCAGCGCTGCCGACGCCGCGGTAATTGCCAGGAGTATTTGGCTTGCGATCACGCCGGCGCCCACAGTCAATGTGCCGCACTTGGATGCCTGGCCACGGCTGTAGCTGAGAACACGGTTGTAGTACGACTGATCCGGTTGAGCAGTGGTAGTCATGATTTCCTGGAAAAGATTATGATGATGACATAAAGATCAGAAAAAGAGAAAAACGTAAGGGAAAAGTCAGAAATAGTAATGGTTGGGCATGGTCGTTTTAGCAAAGAAAATTTCGGCGACGCGCGATAAACTAAAACCAAAAGGAAAAGAAAATCCAAAAAAGCAGCAATTGCTTTTATTTTTATAAATTTTTATAAACGTTTTGTAAAAGTTCAACAAACTGATCTGCCGCGAAAAAACCAACAAAAATCAGCGCGCTGAAGAATTCCGAAACGCTCCGCCCGGTCCACGTTATAAAATGAGAAGTGAATACGGTGGCAAGAGGCGCTTGTCGTTTAGAATGACGGGGACCCCGACTTTTTGCGATGTTTTGGCCGAAAGTTGGGGTTTGTTTGAGGGTGTCCTTTCGGTGCGATAGGCGGAGACAGCGAAAACAGTAAACAGGCGACTCGACACGGGTTTCGTAACCGCCAAAAAAAGAATGGGAACCTGCATTGCTTGAGCGTAGTAGCATTAGAGCAGGTTTTGTAAAGTACGGCCATCTATAAAAAGTCTAGTAGGACCATTTTATGGCGATTTATATGGCTGCTCGAACGCCCGAACTTTACAAATTTGCTTTAATGCTCGAACTTTGCAGTCGCCTTTCGTAACCGCCAAAAATGAACAGCAGCCGTAGGCCACCGACCCGTCTAAATGCGACGCAAGAAAATGGGCATTTTCTCTGGTTGAGTCTCCGCCTACCCGTCCCATTTATCTCCGTTCCTGTGATTGTCTTTCGCCGGGAGGGGGACTTTGCTCCCGGCCATCGCGCTTTTTCCTCGCCACCGCTGGGGGCTTGTTTTCGCCCCGCTAGCGCTGCGGGGCGATCTGGAAAGATACCACACTCCCTCTTGGCCGGGGCTGGAAAAACGTTCACCTAACAATCGCGCGATGAGTGTTTTTCGCAGTCAAGGAAAGTTTTGCGGAAACATTTATTGGGAAGAGAAGTGATTTTAAGCAGGTTATCACAGGGTTTTTGATAGCACATTCAATGAAGTATTATAGGAGGGAGCACCAAATTAGAGGCTTTTAAGTATAGGAAGAAAAAGCTGTCGATTTTAGAAATTAGTCAATGTCGCACGGTTTCCACGATAAATGACTAACTAAGTATAAATAAACGTTAACTTATGCTGTAATAAAACTAATAAGTAGTGCTTTATGGTATCATACGCTGTTTTAGGGTGGAAATACTGATAATTACTGCCTTACAAAAAGCGTGGGAACCGTGTGACATTTCCTAATCTCGTTTTTAACGTAGTTACTACTTTCAAAACCGCGTTCCTTGCACAGGCCAATTTTGAAACCTATAGTATCACATAGATGCATGAAAAAAAAACACAAAAAAGCTGTTTCAAACAATACTGGCAACTGTGAAAGCTTTGGGATCGAGGGGTACCCATTATGGATTGCGCTTTTCGGGGGGAACAGTTGAAACGATCACAATGCTGACTGTTTGGCCGTTAAATACACAGTATGTACAGCGTGTTACAGCGTGTTCTGGAAGCTGCCGTAGGGGGACGTGTCCGAGGCGGTGCCGTCACAGCCCGAAATATACCTGCAAAAAGGGTTGCCTGTCCTGGGATACGCGGGATTTCACGTGAAAAGCTGAGGGATAAGGGAGATGGGGGATGGAAATAGGGGCGCCTGTTTGCATCATGCTGTTCATGGGGTTCCCCCGGTTGGGGTGCAAAGTGCACCGAATTGCGTGGGGGTAGAGTTCAGCGATAGGACGCTTGTATTCTTTGCAAGGGCAACTTTTTGGCCTTATCGCGCTGCGAGATTTCGTTGACGCGCGAAGAGATGTTTTCTGTTGCAGAGGGCCGCTGGCGAAATAGCGCGGGGTTGTCGTAGTTTTTCGCAAGGATAAAAGACAAGTTCTTTAGTGCTGTTTTTTTGTGTAATTGAGATGCTTAGGCTTAGGCTTAGGCTTCGCTTTTGGGCTTAGGCTTGGGCTTAGCTTCGGATCTTCCTTGCTTAGAACCGAATTTTTAAAAAAAATCGGATGTTTCCATTTACCATTACCAAACGAAAAACTACATCGTCTATTGAAATGTACAAAAAAATATCGCCTTCAGTGCCAAAAGGGCCGATTTTTCATTAAAGGTTTTTTCCGTTTGATTTTGAAGTTTACAACTTTTTCTAAATTTTTTAGATAGGCTTCTCTACTTAATATAGTTAAATTTTACTAAAAAGACGATTAAAATCCTTGCTATTACATTGCTAAACATTACTGGACTTTTGAAAGGAACAAGCCCCCCCCCCCCGATACTGCTCAAGAACCGATTCCCGTAACTAAACTAGATTCGAGCATATTTTCGGCAACATTTTTCCTTATTTTTCCCGGGGGTCGCGGTTTTTCGGGTTTTTTTCGTTCTTATCGGCACCCACCGGACGGAACGTTCGATTTTCTCCTTGCGGGCGAGCTCAGCTCTTTCCTTTTCTTCGCGGGACCGGCGCAGGGCCAGCCGAACGGCAATCGTGTCCCGTTCGCGTTCGTTTGCCCGTCGGCTGTCGAGTGTAATCTGAAGTGGCAGGTTGATTGGTTAAAAATAAGAATAAGCCTAAGGTAATTTGGGGTACTGAATATTTCTAAGGCTAAATTATTGTTGGCTTTTGCAAATAGTATTTTTCGTGTTTTCAATGGATATTATTATATATTATATTAGAAATAGAAAAGAGAATGGATTTCAGCAATTTTCAGCGATTTAGCAATCAATTCTACATTTTCTTAGATAAAAAGTAGTCAAATCTGATCGAGTTTCGGTATATTTTCGATGTTTTGGAGCGGTAGTAGGTGTGTTACTAATGTTTTAGCGAAATTTACCTATATTTCACGCGGAAAATTCATTTAAAAAACTTTATAATTCTAATTTTGGTCGAAAATAGCTTTTTTGTAATTTTTAAATAAAAATTTTAAGTTTTTTCGTATACTGGTCGTAAAAACACAGTGTAGAAACAGCTTTTTTTCATGCTCACCTCAGCAGCCCGTTCCTCGAAAGCCTCCAGAATTCGCGTTCGATATTCGACCGTTTTCCTTACGGGGTTACCCCTGAAATTGATGATTTTTTGTAATTCCACGCCCTACCGTAAGATCAGCGTCTCCAAGCAGGGCAACCGCCCGACGTGGATCACCGACTCGACCGTGTCCAGCTGATTCTCGCTCGCATCGAGCACCTCCAGGGAGTACAGTTTGGAGAGACCTTCCAAGCTGGGAATTTGGTTTCCAGCGATGTTCAGCGTTGTGATGTTGCCCAAAAGTTGCGCCCAGCCGCTTACGGAGTCTGGAAGGATAAAATAGATATTAACAATAAAAATGAATACCCTAATAAATGCAAAAAATACAAATAATATACCTAGAATATTTTTCGAAAGATCGAGGCGCCGTAATGCCGGCATATGCTGCAGATTCGGGCCAATGTCGGCCAACCGGTTCTGCGACAGGTTGAGCGTCGTCACGGCTTTTAGCGTAGTCTGAAATGTCAAATGTATTGGTTAAAAGGTACTATTCCAATATCGGGGGGGGGGGGAAGATTCTCCTTCCTTGGGGGCCGATTTTCTCAATAGAAATAGAAAAGCGAATCGTAAAAACGTTCTAGAGTTTTGATAAAAAAACCAATATTGTGATTTTCGATCAATTAATATTTTAAATCTTTTCTAACTTTTCTGACGTTTTTTTTTTTTTTTTTTTTTTTTTTTTTTTTTTTTTTTTTTTTTTTTTTTTTTTTTTTTTTTTTTTTTTTTTTTTTTTTTTTTTTTTTTTTTTTTTTTTTTTTTTTTTTTTTTTTTTTTTTTTTTTTTTTTTTTTTTTTTTTTTTTTTTTTTTTTTTTTTTTTTTTTTTTTTTTTTTTTTTTTTTTTTTTTTTTTTTTTTTTTTTTTTTTTTTTTTTTTTTTTTTTTTTTTTTTTTTTTTTTTTTTTTTTTTTTTTTTTTTTTTTTTTTTTTTTTTTTTAAATTTTTTTTTTTTTTTTTTTTTTTTTTTTTTTTTTTTTTTTTTTTTTTTAAATTTTTTTTTTTTTTTTTTTTTTTTTTTTTTTTTTTTTTTTTATTTTTTTTTTTTTTTTTTTTTTTTTTTTTTTTTTTTTTTTTTTTTTTTTTTTATTTGCACTTCAAAGTTATTTTTTCCAAAACCACCACTAAAATACCAACTACCTGCAGCTACTCCGTACACTTTTACTCAGTGCGTTTGTTGCATTTTATCGAGTTTTTTTTACGCTTTTGGAATGTTTTTGTACCTTCAGCTTTAAATCTTTGCTTTCCCTACCCCCAGCTCAAAATTACAATTCGACCCCCAACGTCGTATTTGTAGCCCCGGGAGCAGGAGGATGAGGAGGAGGAGGAGGCTAAACGAATTATGCGGCGCAATGGCCCAATTTTGGGTCCCTCGGCTAAAAGCGGGCAAAGAAGATGGGATGGAGGGAGGATTTCGACGGCCAACGAAATGGAAATGGAAATGAACCCGCACAATGGAATCGTCAATGGAGTCGAGCTGGTTGAAGGAGAGATCGACGTCTTCGAGCACTGGCCACGGCCGGCCATCCGTGTCGACTTCCAACTCGGAGACACCAAACAGGTCCTGGAATGGAAAAAATGGTATTGTTCTATTTGGGGGGGGGGAAGTGGGATCTTCGGCAACCCCAAGTTTTTTCCTATAAAACGATAGAACTATTAAAACTACCAAATTTATTGTTTTTCGGTGGTTCTTTGGCATTACCGGGGGGATAACAGGGGAAAACAACATTTTAATTTAAAATACACAACAATATACAAAAAATATCGAATTTTTGACCAAAATTTCGAATCTAATTGTCGAGAAGCGTTTTATTACTTGAAATATAGTTGAATTTTACTAAAATACGGTTAAAATCTTTCTATTTCGGCGCTCGCGCATTATCGGGGGGACCAGCGTTTTTATTGGTATCCAATTGCTCTTATAGAAATCGAGGAAGTCTGTATAAACTTTT